GTAGGTCAAACTGATGGTCATAGAACAAGATGGCAGAAACCTTAAGCACTGGGAAGATGTCTGGACCGGCCTAAAGGGCAGCAAGAATAGTTGGAAGGCCCTTTGGGGCCACATTGGCCTGGTCTGACTTGGTTTACGGGATGGATCAGTTAAGCTGAGAACAAGGAAAACATTATTCACAGTCCAGCTCTGGAGTTCCCTCCCACTTGCTTTCCCCAATTGGAGGTCCTAGTTCCTAGCGCTGTTCTGTCCAGCAGAAATGAACTCACAAGTCAGGCAATTTCAGCTTCCCAGTAGAAAAGTGAGGGAGTACAGCTCTTGGGCTATTGGAATTAATTCTTTCTCTAAACCTTTCTGCCTGTTGGTCTGCTCCAACTTTGCCATTTGTCTCCAGGCAGAGGAACTTGAGAAGAAATGTGGCATTAGCAGTCCTGGGGCTTGAGGCCCTCTCTTTCTGCCAGCCGGTGCTGTTGGCCTTTTCCTCCTGGCACCTGTGATACATTTAGCCCTTCTAGCCTCATCTCCTTGGTCTTTAGCTGTGTGGGATGGAAGTGGGCTGAGCTTTTCTAGCAGAGAGTGCCCATAGAGGGTGCCCCTCAGGGAGCAGCTGTTATGACCATCTGTCTCTGGAGATGGAAAGTAGGGAGGCCGGAACATGCTGTGGGTCTCTCCTTGCTGCCACTCATACTGTTGTGGCTGCCCCAGGTGGGCTAGGTTGATGAAGCTTCTAAGGGAAAGAGGTTAGGCTAAAGCTCAAGTTTATGCTGCTGTGAACAGGCTCTTGGCCTTTCTTATATGGAAAGCCACAAGCTACAAAGTAGGATCTGGTTCTGGAGTGGAGGCTATCCATGAAGCTGTTGCATTTGGAATATCGTTAGGATGAGCAGAGGACTGCCGTGGACCCCTTCATACCTAGAGGGGGTTCTTCAGCAGCATTGAGCAGTCTCTTTACATTTAGGTCTTATGAAGGAAAGGGAATATCCACATGACGTCTGTCATAGTGGAGTTTGTAGTCTACACTGGACAGAATTTTTGTGGAATTTCAGAGTCACAGAAAATGGTCCACATAATGAGCTTGTATCTTCTTAACTTGATTTTTCTGGTGAGAGTTAAGACTTGATGAGAAGACTTGAGTCCTTTTCTTACATTACTTGTTAAAGGATACAGATTTGCTTAGCTCTAATTTTCGTAATGATTCAGCTTTCTTGAAAATACAGATGGAAATGTTAGGGGTTAATTTTTTAATTTGTCTTTTTGGATGCAAGTGAAAATCTGTTACTGAGTTTATCTAGTGGGCTAGGTATTCTTTGAGATGAGTCACCACTATGGATGGGAGATAATTTGATCTCACTTCCTGAGAATAAATAACAAGGGCCTTAACTATCTGAAGGAGGTGATCTTCTCCTGGGTAAGGGATGGAGATGTTTGGGCTGTGCTAGAAGCAGGTTACTGTCAAAATGGTGGTCAGTAATGTGGCTTCTTTTCAGAGAATGGTGTGAGAATACCATCTCATGCAGGGTGGTGTACAGAAAAATGGAAATATCCCTAGCTGTCCTCTTTCCCTCTTTCTGTGGAAGAGTCTGATGATTTCAGATATCTGTGAACAGTTAGATGGTTGAAAAGACAGGACCAAAGACAGGACGATACAGTAAATGTGATAAAGAGAAAGGAGATGGATAGAATTTCCATTTTGATCGAAATATTGCATTTGATGTGATGGCAGTGGCTGTGGGAAGTTGTGGCCTGAAGAGTGATGACTGTGAGTTCATATAAATTTGTACCTTTGCTCCAGAAACAAGCTGGAGTTCTATTTCCTCACCGGTTCTTTTGAGGTCTGTGTCTTAGAGTCTGGCAGTAGCCAAGTCCATTGAATGCATTCATTTCTTCTTTGCCATTTCCTTTTTCTATGAACCAGGAGAAGCCTCCATTTCTCCACACTCTTTTCCTTGTTACATGAATAATAAAGGTATGAACAGACCTGTTCTGGGTGCTATTGAACTCCCAGGCAGGCCTGTGGGGTTGTTCCCTTTTTCTGTTCTGAACTTTGTGTGCTTTGCCTGGGTTTCCCTGCCAGCAGGGTAGGACCTTTGATCTTGTTTGTGTGGACACATAGGGATGCCATACTTGCCTGTGGTAACCTGTGAGGGTCACTTAGTGGTCAGGTGTAGGGCAGTGTCCTTACCCAAGGGCTGGAAAAGATAGGACCGCCATGTTTCTGCAGACTAGGGAAGGCATGGCTACAGAATGGTTCCAAGGAAAGGTTCACGGTGAGTTCTGGAAAACTGAAAGCTGAAAGATAAATACCAGTGAATAAAGGAGGAAACTCAGATCATCTGGATTAAAAGTTTTTAAAATGCATAGATTGCTGAGTTAGGTTTTGAGCTTTGCTTGGGCTATTCTACCTGACTGCATGAGTTGACAGAGGGCAAGTGACAAGTTGGACATGGCTTAGGGAGAATAACCCCCAAAAGGATGTCCTTGAAGGATAGGTAAAATGTTAGGGGGAAGTTTTTAGAATAATACAATTCTGTCTCTAGCCAAAGTTTTAGATATATCCACATTCCTTCACCAGTAAGAAAAAGTGGGGCAACTATGATAGCATTCTTGCCTTCAGTCTTAACAAATTAGTAGTTGAATCAGGATGAATCTAGCTGCTTGCTAGGCATTCTTCCCTGTGCCCTGCTACCTCTGAGCAGGGCAGGTATCACCTTCCACATTAAGCCATCCCATGCAATTGCCAGGCAGATCCATTCACATCTTGAGAAAAGGCAATGGCGTTACTCAAAGAGTGTTCATCAGGTGAGGGGTTTGATTGGGGACCCTCAGGGAGAAGAGAGGGGAGCCCAAGAGGGAAGTATAGACTAGTGGTGGTTCCCAGAGTTTGAAGACTTGTCACTTCAGAATCCTTTTGGAAAACAAATCCAAATGAGCATCTGTTCTGCTGTTCTTCCTGACAGCCACCTCTCAGAGGTGGGTATCCCTCTGAGACAAGCAGATCATCAGTGAAGAGAAAGATTCATTGCTAGCTTCACCATGACTGTGTGCAAAGACTTCTCCCATGTAACTCCCCATGAACAGAACCTTTGCTGCTCTGAGGAACTCATTTTAGCAAAGCAAACGTCCATCATCCCCAGAGATGGGAATGCTCCACTAGCATGTGTCTGTGTGTGTGTGCTCTCGTACATGTGCTCCACCCATACCTGGGTACACATTTAAAAGCATACTTTATTCCACACACTTAGGACATGTCCCAGTAAAATGATGTTTCGAGTTAAGAATGTTCATTTAAAATGTTTTGTACTGTTAATATTTCTCTGTTTAGATGTATTAGCTGTGCCTGAGAGTAAAATAACATGGGGCATGGGGTACCTGACAGTGTCGTGGTTGTGTGTGTGTGTGTGTGTGTGTGTGTGTGTGTGATTGAGAAATCACATTTGTCTTTGGCAAAGGAGTAAAGGGAAAGTGATTAAACAAAACAATGTAATTGAGAAAGAGTTCTGCGAAGGGAACTGTGCATGATCTTTATCAGAATACTGCACACATTGCATTGTATGCTGTCCTCATGCCTTGATGGCCCGTAGGCCGTGGTGCTAAGGAGGCTCACCCAGGTTCTGCATAGTTTCGACACAGGGTTAGGTCTTCATTCTGGGCTTTGGAATTTGGTAGTGGTGGGTGGCTCAGTTTCATTGTCACTGTCTGAGCACTGCCAGTTCAAGTACATGAACCTCATCTGCACATCTGCAGTTTTATCTAATATCCGTATTAGCTCTCCAGCCTTTTACTCTGGTCTTAGCATATCAATGTTCTGATTGCCGTAGGTTGTTGGCTCTCAGACCTGTGTATTCTTCTGCCTGTGTACCACCCACAGATCCTACCTCTCCCTACCCTGTTCCTTTAGGGAAATGGCAGGGATGCCCAGAGACTAGGGCAGAGGTAGAGGCTAGATCTGGGATCTGGCAAGGACAGTAAGGGCCTGATCAGAACAGGACTGTGAGTAGGGAGAAAGTCACAGCCTATGTCCAGCGCTTAACTCCCTACTTTCTGGCCTGCCCCATTCTTTGTATCTTACCAGGAAAGAAACCCACGTGGGAGTCAGGACTGGAGGACTATTGCAGGCTGGGCCTGTGCCCAATTGTTGTTAGGCCTTCTGTCTCCCCAGGAGTGATAACATGGCCCAGACCAACTCACAGAATCATCCTGATGGCAAAATGAGATAATGTGTGTAGAAGTACTTTGGACAGCTGAAAACGGCTACCACCGCTTTGTGTATCAGAATGATAGACCCGATTTCTTGAAATCTTTCTGTCTGGATAAGGCACAGATAGAAGGAAGACACTTCCAAAGCTAGGCCTTAAGGAAATAATATATTCAAAGAGCCACTGTCATTCCAAGACTATCTGGGTGCCCCCAAATAGAAGCATCTTGTGTCCATAAAGATATCAGTTCCTTCCTAAACTTATTTGGAGCCTCTGTGCCAGTCATTAAAGCGTAGTGATTCCTGGAGAGGAGGAAGGACACAGGTGCAGCCCTCCTGCTTATAGTGCATGGTGGGGGACCCGGGCACATGCAGTCACAGCACAGTGAGGGCAATGCTGCTCCTAGGTAATCAGAGGCCAGGGTGCCTTCTCTTAGGATCTGTGGTAGTATGACAGTGAGCATTATGTCTGTCTTTCTTCAGTGTTGCTTCCTTCCTCTCTCTGCAGTCAGATCTGAATTTTTCCCTTGGTCTAATGTGCCAATGAATAAAGCTGTAGGAAGAGCCCCATTCTTCTGCCCCTGGACAGGATGAGGGATGGCTGCTTCATTGGCAGCAGTCCACGGGCAGAGGGGGCCACGGGAGTTGTTGGAGCATTCAGGGATGAGTGTCCATCAGTGCCATATCCTCTACCGTTTTCCTCCTGTCATCTACCAGAGGGATGGCTACCAAGCCCCAGGTAGGGGTGGGCCTACCTTCCATCCATCCAGAGCAGCAGCAACCTGTCTTTTCCTTTCCCCTACAGGAAGCTGCACAGTGGGATGAAGACGTACGGGTGTGAGCTGTGCGGAAAGCGGTTCCTGGATAGTTTGCGACTGAGAATGCACTTACTGGCTCATTCAGGTAGGCGAGGATGCCTTAAGTGGCCCATTTGGGCACAGGCAACTACCTCTTGCCCACCTTCACCTCTAACCACTGCCAGCCAGAGCCTTGGTCCACATTTTTCCTTGAATGCTGAGCAGAAAAGCCATCTTGACAGTGTATGCCCATTGGACAATACCAATCTTCATGCTCCCCGGGGGTTCCCAGGGCATTGCTGGCACCCATGTCCTATGTGATCTACCTTCCAAAGTAGACTGCAGTTTCATTAGCAAAACAGTTGTGGAATTAGTTCTCACTGTCTAATGAATCTGACTATTGGGTTCACATTATAGTGGAGCCTTTAATTAAATAGATATAGAAAGGTTGGAACACAAAGCTAGTTACAGCGTGCTGTCTTTTACAAGTTAATTTTATCCAATTCTAGTGGGGTTGACTCTGTGACTGCTGGCAATTTTGCTCATGGAATGGGGAGAAGCCGCTGATATTCAGCAGCTCAAGTGTTCCTTGTATGCGGAAGGAGCCTGCAGGTCTGATGCTGTGTGGCTTGAAGCCTGAGGAGTCACTTGCCTGTGTAGATGCTTCAAGATTTCTTAGCCAAGAGATCACTCTTTTCCCTCTAATAATCTTGGCTTTCTACCTCAGTGTCATGTTTTCAGAGAGAGGAATGGGCTATCTTCCTGTTTGGTCTTGCTCCTTCTCACACGAGCCAATATCTACTTCTTCTTTCTCCATATTGCTTCAAGCAACTGGCCCTCCAGTCCAATGTTTATGAAATGAGCATGGGCTTTGGGCTTGGATGGATCCTGCTTTTGACAGATGCTAACTGTGTGACAGTAGTCAGCTTCCTCTTGTGAGGCCCAGTTTCTACATCTGAAGGGTATAGGAATTGCTAACTCCTACAGTTTTTTGTTTTGAGGACTAGATGAGAGGATATATGTTAAAAGGATCTGGTGCATAACAGCTATTGGTGGCTTCTGCTTGCACCTTTCTCCTACTTCTGAAACTCACCCTGGGGTAAGTCCCTGTCACCTAATCCCAGAGGCTTCCTGCCTGGCTGTCTGTCTACATTCTGTTCTTCCTGATGCCCTTTGTGTGTACCACCATGTAAGCGCTGTGAGTAGCTTTGCTTGCCCCTGCCTTGCTGTAGTCCCTTGCTGTAGGCATTTGTGCACTGTTGGATGCCACCTCTCTCTCTGGCCTTCATGGCCCCTACTAAAGTGCTCAGACTCCTTCTGGCTTTCCATTCTTTCCTTGTCAGGTTCCAGGGATTCAGCTAAACCCAGGCAGCTGTCTATCTCTGCAGTTCCATTCTCTCCCATATCTGTTCCCTTCCTCCTTCCTCTGGACCCCTCACCCTGCTCCATTGAGCACTGCTCGTCCTGCCCTACTCGTGTGACTTCAGCCAAGCCCAGAGTCCAGGCATTCTGTGTTCAGCAGTTGCTTGTTGTCTGCACTTCTGTTAGTGATGTGCACCTTGTATCTTCTCACTTCCCTTCAGCTTGGGGTGATTGCTTAGAGTTCATTGTGTGGTTTCACGAACTGTGTGCCAACCAGCTTGGCTGTCTCTTCATAATCCTTGAGAGCAAAGTGTGAGTCCTTCCTTTAATTTTTTCTTTCAGGCTGTCCTGAAACACACAGTGATCCTCCTACCTCAGCCTTCCTAGTGCTGAGATTACACACTTGTGCTACCACGCCTAGTTTGAGTGGTCTTCTGTTTCTTTTGCTTTCTGCCCCAGACACTCCTGTGTGGTTTTGAACACTTCAGTAGGGGCACAAATACCTTTCAGCCTATTGTTAGCTCTTTGTCCTATCTGAAACTCCGCCCCAGTGAGCATCCTTTTTTTTGGCCACTGTTTCCTTGAGTCCAGTGGATTCATCTTGTTAAGTTGTTGAGTTGCTTCATGTGTGCCTTACTTTCTGCACCTGGTGGCTCTGTTCACTCCATCCTGTCCCTTTGGGAGGACCCTTCTCTCCTCTTTCAAGATTTTTGAAGGTCCCTTCTCAACTCACTGTCATCTTCAGCCAGAAGCAACTGTGCCTTTTAAGTGCCCATATATCTTGGAGCCAATAGCTTTCTTCTTTGTGTTATGTTTATTAATGGATTTCCTTAGCTTTCCTGTTTGGTAGACTAGGTAAGATGGCAGAAGGGATTTTGGCACGTACCTCTGACGATAAGAGCTTAGGCTCTCTGAGCCTGAGCATCCTCTTCTGTAAAGTGAGAGTATCTAACCCTTTGCCCTATCTCAGAGCAGTTGTAAGCCTCACATTTTTGTTGTCGTCACAATGTCTGACATGTCATGGGCTCTTGAGATTTTCCCTTCATTCTGTAAGAAAAGCTAATTTGGCATTGGATGGGTCTTGATTATGTCTAGCACATTGCCTGGCACATTACTGGAATCAACAAATATTTGTTAAATGGACGAGTGCAGCCTGGGAGGCAGATGAACAACTCAAGGGGACTCCAGTCTCTGCAACAGGAACTGCTTGTGGCTTAGGCCCATATTATAAGTAACTCCTGCAGCAGGAACCAATGTGGGTTAGCTACTATCTCTCTGCTGCTGTGAAATCCATCAGTGGTGTATTGGTGGCTGTGGCAGAAAGGAAAGGAGCTAATTTTGTACTTCAGATGGGTTTTGGTGGCCCCAGTTCAGACAGTACAGTGACTTTGCAAACCCCTCTGGACTGTTAGATCTTTGGGGATATATATTCCAGTCCTTCCTGAGATCCCCTTCCAGGTCCTGCGGTGTCATCTGGATGTCACAGAGGCTTTTGGGAGTTAGGCCCTGTGCCACTGAGGGCTGCCTGCATAAGTGATCTGTCCCTTTGACCAGCACTTGGCAGTGCCCTGGGAAGGAGGCTTTGGTGATGGTGCAGGTATACTGAGTCAAGGCAGTGCATTACTTCACTCTGGCACATGGCCCCTGTGTGAGACTTCTAGCCCCTATGTTATATCTTCTTTATTTTGCTCTGTGTACCTCTCACCACTATTGTGGGATGATTTGCAGAGCAAATAGCACAAAGCACTAGTGAGGCCAGACACCTTCCTGAGATGGTCGCTCCTGGTTGAACAGTGACTGCCTTCCAGGCAGGAGCCTGCAAAGACATAGGCTTGTTGGGGGGTGTGAGCTTGAGTTGGTGGTGCCAGGTTTCCCAGACGATTTCAGTCCCAAGATGCCTGATAACACCCTGTTGGTTTAGAAGATGTGCCTAGTTAGATGACAAGAGGGTTGCTCTTTAAGTGCTCTTTTATGAAGGCTTCATGGGGTGTGGAGGGGGGGCGGGGGCGCGGCTGACAGTGAGAATGTATCCTAATGATCACCCACACACCCATTTTACAGAGGATCACCAAGCGTTGGAGTAGCAGCCCAGAGCCTGGAAGAACAGTAGTGCCCCAGGCCTGGGAGCACCTTTTTCTTTTCATCTTTAAATAAAACCAGCTACAGAGAAGCAAGCCCAGGGTCTGAGCAGGGGTCCTGGTTGCTCCCTAAGGGTCTCTGCTGCCCTGGCGCAGGCGCATTCCTGCTGTTCCCTTCTTCTCTGCAGGCTGAGGGCTCCGTCCTAGCTCGTGTGCTTGGCGGCCCCACCCCCTCTTGGCTCTTGCTGCCTGTGTTTGTTATTGTAGTCCTGGCACCTGGCCAGGCCTGGCTGCTAGCCAGGCTTGTGGGTACAGTATGTACAGTGAGTGCTGAGCCAAGTTTTTCATCATACACGATTAATTTTTTTTTTCTAATCTGGTAGGGGTGGGGTGAAGGAGGAGGCAAAGAAAAGAGTTTCTCAGTGCTGGAAAAGAGGCCCGCTGCTTTCTGTGGAGACTTTATTTATGAAGGGACGAAAAGGCTGCAGCTTGTCTTTTCCTCTGCATCTTTTCCCATTTCTATCCTTGTCTTCTTCCTCTACTCCTCATTTCCCTATCAGGCGAAATCAGCCTGTAGGAGATCGACAAGGCAAGGTCTTATTTTCAGTGACTAGAATACTAAATTTACTCTCCTAAATCAGTTTTCATTGTGCTGAAATTGACAATTTGTTTAATTAGAAGTTTGCCCTGTAGGAGGCCCTTCTGAGAGGCTCTGCTTTCTCTTCTCTCTTACTTTTTTTCTAGTTTTATTTTTTTAAGACCCTAAATGGTAGTAGTGAATGTTCAGTTTAATTGAAGTTTTTATCTCTATTTGAATGCGTTAACTAATCAAGTGTTTATGAGATATACCTGATGATAACAATAAGTTTAAATTAAACCAACAGTAACCTAACTCATTAACTAATGAGATGATCTGGCCAGACCCTGCATTCTCAGAGGTGGCTCAAAAAAGGTTTGAGCACTAGGAAAGAAGGCCATGCACAGCCTCCCTCCAGAGACTTTGCGAAGCTGGCCTGGCAGGAAGGTGAAGTTTGGGTGTAGGATTGCGGCAGGGAGCAGAGGAACGTCCCCCCTTCGACCTTGCCTGCCTCTTCCTTGACCCCTGCTGCTTTATCTCTGGTCACAACCAGGTTCTGAAGTACTGGTGCACTTCCTGACTCTGCCTGTCCTTGTTCTAATGTAGGAAGTGATTCCTGGTGCCGAGAGGTCTCAGAGACCACAGAATCAGTCAGTGACTTCAGTTCCTTCTGAGGTTGGCCATCGTCAGGTTTCCCATTAGGTGGTATTTCTCACATCCTGGCCTAACACACTGGTGGATTATAAGTGGGCACATTGGCTGCTTACAGTGAGAGGCTTGGGTGTGTATGTGCCCTGGCCCCATTTTGGGAGTGCTAGTCATTTTTGGAGCCAGTAGATATTTTTAAAAGACCTAATAATGTGTCAGGTATGTGCATTTAACAGCAAAGAATGTCACTACAGCAGCCCTGCCCTCTTTAATAGGAGAGACCAGTTTGATTGTTGAATTTCCCCTCTAGACTAGAAGGGGATGTTGGACTTTGTGATGTAGACTGGGCTGCATTAGAGGATATTTGAGACTTCAGGAAAAATCAAGACTGGCAGTTCCTGCTGGGTATGGCTGCAATGTCAAGAGGCCTGTCCCTCCTGT